AGCAGGCTGGCGACAATCCCCACGCTCTTTCAAAAGCTGCTTCATTGAAGGCTGCAGACGGATTTGCCCAGACAAGCAATGCTGCCCACGGGGCACCGTGGCAGGCCACTCCCCTACACAAATCCTTTTACAAAGTCACTCAAAGCCGTTCGGTGACTCTGTGTCCCAGGAATACACGTCGGCACAAAACACAGCCATTTCATGTTAACTACCCAGTAGAGAGTCCACCGCCCTATTAGAGCTTGGGTCTTGAAACCTTTCCCAGAGGCTGGGAGCCATGTCATTCTTTTGAAAATGAAGTTGCACAGAGAACAATGAAGAATAATGAAGGCAAATAAAAGGCATTCTGGAAAGTGTCAAAAGATTCCTTGACAGCCCTCTTCCAAAGAGAACAACTGAGCGAAGGGAAAAGAGAAAGGGGAAAGAAAAAAACTATCTGCAAAAACACCCTCCCCATCTGTGCCAGTCTGCCCAGGGCCTGTTCCTGAACAATGCTGTTCCTCCAACGTGTGACAGGTAGGGAGTTATTCCAGTGGTTGAAGCTGGTACAAATCTGGTTTGATGCAAAAATGAGGGGAAATCATTAATTCAATCATTGCACTTTGTCTGGCAGATACATGCTTTTAAGCTTGTGGTCCCTGGAAAAATCCTGGCTCCGTTCCCACATCGAGGAAGCCTTAGCCACCTGGCCACCAGAAACCCAGGCTGCTGCCTCTGCCTTTAGTCCTTGGTGGCTGGACAGAGAGACCAGCCAGGGTAGCAGCTGCTACTGCAGCTGACTGCATTCTGAAGTTGCATGGGCCCACAGGAAAGAGCTAAATACAGGAGGAAGCAGGCACCGTCCATGGACACAGGAGCGAGCTGAGCAGCAAGGCTGGGCAGGCTCTGATTCTGTCTCCTTCTGCTCCCTCCCGGCCCCAGGTCCCATTAGCTGTGCCCAGTCAGGGTGCCCAGCGCACAAGACAGAGGACGCTGGGGATGGCTGCCCGGCACCCTCATTCTGCAGGCTTCGCTCGGCAGTCTAGGATTCAGCTGTCTGGCTCATGCACAGACCCAGAGGGAGCCCAGCAACCCCAAACTTTCAAACCACATGTCTACACTGACCTACAACTCACCCACAGGTCCTCTGTGCTCAGATTTTTTTCTTTTTTATGTTTTATTTCACACTCAAATCCACCAAGTTTAATTACGTCATTTCTGAAGTCCAAGAAAATCCTCATGAACAAATCAGAAAAAGTGGAAAAAATATGCCACTCACACACAGCTCTTTCTAACCATCAGGAAGTGACAGTAAGACTTCAAGAGAAAAACTACAAAAAGCAGTTAAGAGGATTAACAGAATCTGGGAAACTTAAATCATCTCTTGGAATAGACCCTAAGGACATTAAATGGATCAGAGGGTGGCAACCTTAGGTGCAGAAAACATTGGTTTTTTATTCTGTATACACGCTGTAGATTTACTACACTAAGATATGCAAAGGAATGCAAATGAGATGCTAGCAGTAAGTATTTGTATAAATATGCATTATACATAAACACATATATATCCTTTTTTTACATCCTGATGTTTTAAAGGGTGAATCACAAAAACTACTTACTACGACTCGCTGCATAAGGATTTCAGGGCATAATAATTCTAAGAGACTATTTTATCACTAGCATCGACAGTCATAGCTTCATCAATTAAAAGAAAAAAAAAGATCTTAAGCAGGAAGTCTATTTCTTCATGGTATCCCTTTCCAAAAATAACTACACTTCTACCTCGAGAGCATCCATGAGCAGAGTTTTATAATGCACTGCCCCGGGATGAGCAATCCTGAGGGCTGTGATTTATTTCTGGCATAGACTAAAGAGAAGGTCTAGGGTTCTGTGAGTTCACTGGCTCCAAGGCAACAGCTCACATTGGTGATACTGAGGGACCAGGGCTGAGATGGGAATGCAGGGGACACAGCTGGGGAACCAAGATGTTGACAAAATTATTTCAGTTCCATCACATCGTCAGTACAAGATCAACTCAAAGTATTTGACTAGTCACCATTCCAGTGTCTGCTTATTTAGCTATGGGTGCTTATCAACATTATACTCACTTCATTAATTTATATGACTTCATAATATGATTATGGATGATAGGTTAAATTTAGATTGATGTAAAAGTGGGGGAAATTTATTCATTTAATAATTATTCATTTAATAATTCATTTGTTCATTTAATAAATGTAAGCTTGCAGTCCCTAAGAAGGCTCCAGGGACTATGTGGATGGAGTGACCTCCCGAGGTCAGAGTTAAATTATCTCGTGGAACAGATCCTTAGGACATTAAATGGATGAGAAGGTGGCAACCCTGGGTGCAGAAAACATCGGCTCTCTACTATGTATACATTGTGTAGACTTACTGCACTAAGATATGTAAAAGGAACGCAAATGAGATGCTGGCAGTAAGTATTTACTGACCTAACCCCAAACCTAACCCCAAAAAGAAACAGCTGGAGTCAGACTGCAGACAAGCATTCTGAAGATAGAAACCAATACTGAGCAAATTCAGAGTGCAGTCAGCTCGAACTTATCCACGCCAGTGGCAGGATGGTTCACTCACGCAGGAACATGAGCAGCGCCTCCCCCAGCTGGCTGGGCCACCTCCCCCAGCTCAGCGCCCTAAGGGGGATGTCAGGGTGGAGGGGGTGGCTGGGGAACCGCGTACAGAAAAAGCAGCCTCAAAGAGTATGTCATGAAGTAAGGGGAAAGGAAGGCAGTCACACCCACTAAGAAGTGGTGAGGGTCCCTGGGTGTTTTGTTTCATGTGTTTTACTTGTGTGTGTGTAAAACATGCTTCTCTGTAGGTCTGTCTCTGACACAGAGTGGATTCTCATGTCTCTGGAATAATTGAGGACACATTGAAAGGCTGAAGACTGAATCACATAATTTCTTGTACTTTTTTTTTTTTTTTTTGGCTGTGCCACACATCCTAAAATATCACACGGTATTTTATTGCCCTGACAAGGGATAGAACCCATGCCCCTAGCATTGGAAACATGGAGCCTTAACCACTAGCCCACCAGGGAAGTCCTCAACTACATGACCTCCAAGGGATGTATCCTTCAAGGACACACAAACAAAAGCAAACATCATTTGTCATATATTACATGTACTTAAAGAACTTCCAAAATAACAACAGCAAAGAACTATTTGTATCTTAACCTTTAAGCCTATTTGTAAAAACACAAGAAACCTATCTATCCTACTAATTTATACATTCATACATCCTTTGAATAAGATTTGCTTAACACTTCCAATATGCACAACAATGCAGTAGGAGCTGTGAAAACATAAAATTTAAAAGATGAAGCCAAGGTACCCAGAGAAAAATATAGGAAAAACTAGAGGCAAAAGAATGGGAAGTATTCATTGTTCACAGTATAAAAGACTATTCAGAGGATGAAAGAGCAATAGACTTCATCAATGAAGACACCCTAAATGGAGTAACCTAAATGGAGGCTGACGTCTGTGATGCTCACAAATTGGCCGAGAGAAGGAAAGAGTAGGTGTTTCCACATCAGGGACCAGGAATCAATGACGGAAGGGAATTGGGGATCTCTAAAGAAGAGATAAGGGAACCCCCTGACAGTCAAGTGGCTAGGGGGCTTCCCTGGTGGCTCAGGTGATAAAGAGCCCACCTGCCAATGCAGGAGATGCAGGTTTGATCCCTGGGTCAGGAAGATGCCCTGGAGGAGGAAATGACAACCCACTCCAGTATTCTTGCCTGGGAAATCCCACGGACAGAGGAGCCTGGAGGGCTACGTCCATGGGGTCGCAGAGAGTCACATATATATGGCTTAGTGACTAAACAACAAACAAGAGGCTGGGACTCTGAGCTTCCACTGCAGGGGACACTGGTTTAATTCCTGGTCGGAGAACTAAGATCCAGCATGCTGCACAGTGTGGCCAAAAGGTTTTAAATTTTTTTTAAAACATAAGGAAGGACCACAAGGAGGTACCATTACAGGCCAGTCAGGATGGCTGCTATCCAAAAGTCTACAAGCAATAAATGCTGGAGAGGGTGTGGAGAAAAGGGAGCCCTCTTAAACTGCTGGTGGGAATGCAAACTAGTACAGCCACTACGGAGAACAGTGTGGAGATTCCTTAAAAAACTGTAAATAGAACTGCCATATGACCCAGCAATCCCACTCCTGGGCATACACACCAAGGAAACTAGATCTGAAAGAGACACATGCACCCCAATGTTCATCTCAGCACTGTTTATAATAGCCAGGATATGGAAGCAACCTAGATGCCCATCAACAGACGAATGGATAAGGAAGCTATGGTACATATACACAATGGAATATTACTCAGCCATTAAAAAGAATTCATTTGAATCAGTTCTAATGAGATGGATGAAACTGGAGCCCATTATACAGAGTGAAGTAAGCCAGAAAGATAAACACCAATACAGTATACTAACGCATATATATGGAATTTTAAAAAGATGGTAACAATAACCCAATATGCAAAACAGAAAAAGAGACACAGATGTACAGAACAGACTTCTGGACTCTGTGGGAGAAGGCGAGGGTGGGATGTTCTGAGAGAACAGCATTGAAACAAGTATACTATCAAGGGTGAAACAGACCACCAGCCCAGGTTGGATGCATGAGACAAGTGCTCAGGGCTGGTGCACTGGGAAGACCCAGAGGGATGGGATGGGGAGGGAGGCGGGAGGGGGGATCGGGATGGGGAACACATGTAAATCCATGGCTGATTCATGTCAATGTATGGCAAAAACCACTACAATATTGTAAAGTAATTAGCCTCCAACTAATAAAAATAAATGAAAAAAAAAAACAAGGAAGGATCAGTCCAACAATGGTGGAGGCTCCATGATACAGACCAAGCCCAAACCCGTGGGACAACGGCCTCAGACACCCTGACGGTGACGATCTGACGCAAAGCTGCACGTCACAAGTGGCGTCGGGGAGGGACCCCGGGACAGAGGCGTGTTCTTACCTTTGCCGTAGAAGAACTTGCGGTAGTAGTAGGCCCCCAGGTCGATGTGCTCAATGACATAACGCTTCACCTTCTCCCTGTGGATGGGCTGGTTCTCCCTGGGCACCTCCAGGACCGACACGCCTGCGTTGGTACAGTGAGAGCTGAGCGAAGACTCGAAGGAGCAGCTCTCCCCAGAACTGAAGGACGACGAGCTGGCCCTGGACAGGGCAATCCTCCGGTCGCCTTCCCCACCTGTCTCATTCCGAAAGTAAGGGCAGCTGAGGACCAGGTCGTTGCTCTTCCCATCACCCTCATCAGCGTCGAGGTTCTCCTTGGAGTTGAGGTCCTCCTTGCTCCCCAGCGGGGAGTCACAGCTGCCCGGCGGGCCGGCTGGCATCTGAGTCTGGGATGCCGCCGAGGCCCCGGTGGTGATGTTTTTCCTCCGGCCCACGTTCGCCCGCGTGGCCATGGCTTCGTTGATGTTGAACAAGATGCTCTGGACATCATAGTGTGCAAAACAGCGCTGGCAGTTCCAAGGGCGGACCCCCCGCTCAAGACGCCCATCTTCCAGCTCGCAGGTGAACTTGAACGTCTCATGCTCACTTTTCACGGCCCGCAGCTTGCGGAAGAGGGACGTTTCCACTGACTCTGACTTCAACCTCCGTTTGAAAGGCTTGTCCCTGTCTCGCCCCAGGAGGAGGGCACTGTCCATATAGTCTAATCCTGAGATGCGTACGAACTCGCCTCTAGAAATCTGTGCTGCAGCGTGAAGGCTGGGGGAGATCGCTGGGTCGCAGGGGAAGAACTCGGGGAACCCAAAAGGGGCCATGGCCTTATGGTCATAGTTCTCCAGCCGATACCCTCGAAGCATAGCAAAAAAGTTCTCCCCCGACAAGCCCTGTCGGTCGATGGATGATGTGCTTCCGTACTCCCTGTGAAGGGCAGCCCCTGTGTTGGGGTTCACTGCATTTTGGTCTAAGACGTCTTCTGCGTCAATGTCACTGATGGTAACATCACTATTGCTTCTCTGTCTTATGGGGTGCAGTCCTCTTTGTGGGGAGTGCACAAAGATGTCTCCGAAGGTATACTTTGCCTCCACAAAGTCCAGATCGAGCGGCTCCTCCTGTTGGCCATCGCTCCCATCATTTTGCCCATTGTGTATAATGGATGTGACGCTTTCATAGCTGGTCTGGGATCGGCTTTCCCATAGGGTCTTACAGGTCAGTTCCTTGGAGCAGTCCTTTTTAGGAGGCCACTCAGACACCCTTGCTCTCACACCCATCTTGGGCACGGCCGGGGTACCATTAGCTGGACCACCACTCTCGTTGGAACTGGAGGCAGTTAGAGAAGTGGTGGGTCCCATGTTGCCATTGATGGCTTTAAATTTTCGAGCAAAATAATCATCTGACTGCATGATTCGGGGAGGATCCTTGAACTTTGAAGAGGCTCTGGCGAGTTTGTGCTTTTCTTCTTGTGACTGCCTGGGGTCACTCATGTCTGCCAAGGCAAGGAGCTCCAAGTCTCACCAGAAAGACTGCTGTAAACCTAATTACATTGTTATTTACAAAGGCTTCTTCTAGAGCTGTATTTCCTCTTGTTAACCAAACGCAAACAACATCCTCAGAGTATGGTTCCCCCAAAACCAACTTGCTTCTCAGTCTGTAATAATTTTGTCCACCTCCGTCCTTTCCAGCAGCATCCCTTAAGACATCTGGCCAGGAGTGTTTCCTTCACCTGAATTAAAAAACAGAAAATAGCCATTAACAATCACTGCAGCTCAAGTTCAACACACTGCCCACATAGCTTCTTATCTGCCCTTCTCTCCAGTTCCCCCCAATCTGTCAGGAAGCTTCATGGTTCCACATCATGCTCCTCTTCTCCCCAAACACTCTGCCCTCTCACTCTACTTGGCAGCCTAGAATTCACACCACACAATCGAGCAGCACCCCACCATGGGCCCGCATCTGAGCAAAGAGTGCCTCCTCTGTGTTTCCATAGGGCCCGCATCCACACTGCCATAGCGGTTTCTCTTATACTCTTCTGGTTTACTGAACACTCTCCTCCACTAGTGAACTGGAAGCTCCCCGAAGCCAGGAGCCATGCCCTTCAACTCCATATCAACATTATCTAAGGATCTAGCTGGGCTCAACTCAGTTAACCAAGCAACATTTCAACTAGTTACAAGAGTAACACAATGGTGATGCAACTATTTGAGTATTCTTAAACTGAAACAGGTAAACTCAAAATGTCCAGCAGCAAAAAGGTCAGTATCAAGCATTAACAATGAGTTTTCAGAATGTTTTCTTGCAAGCAGATAGGAACTCACAGAGATCCTCCTGACTGTGAGAAGGAGTTTCTAAGAATCCGGTGTCAGATTCTTAATCTACTGTATGGCACAGAGAACTCTGCTCAATGTCAAGTGGCAGAGTGCATGGGCAGGCAGTTTAGGGGAGAATGGATAAACGCATATATGGCATGTATGCAATATATGTAATGTAATACATATATTATTTCCTCTATAATTTAGATTATCACCAAAGCTGTTCCTAGAAACTGAAAAACATGACAACCGAGAAATGAAAGAGAACAACTTCTGGCTGATAGTTCTCTGCGAAAATGGTACTTGCTGCCCACCTGAAACTATCACAACGTTGTTAATCGACTATACTGCAATATAAAATAAAATGTTAAGGGAAAAAAAAGAATCCGGTGCCTGAACAAGTACAACTTTCTAGTTCATTATGCCAACAGCGATCTGACAAATGTGTGGGGGAAAACAGAAGCTTGGCGATTTAAAATACGATTCATTTTGTGGCCAGTAGAAAACTTGACCTCATTAACTCTCCTCTTTAATCATAAATAATTTTTCAATTTATTCTGTTTTCAATTAAACAAAAATATTTTCCAGGTATTACATATTTCCTGAGCTCATGGCTGTCAAGGAATCTTGCTGCTGCATAAGGAATAAAAAAAAAAAAGAATGATTTTACTTCTTCTGAAAACAATGATGAGAATAAAGGTATAATATAGCTAGCTGCTTTCCCTCAGCCTTCACCAAAGCATAAAATACAACTGCAGTTCAGTCAGGAGTAATGTTAAAACCCAAATAGCTAAACAGTGTAAGGACTCATTCCAATGGGTTCTTAATGACTTTCTGACGACCATGTGGTAATCTCCAGAAATAGCAGATATTATGATGGCAGCTTGCTTTCTTCTCCATCGGAGAAAAATAATAAGAAGTTAGAGTGGGCATGACAACATGCTGTCTGCACCCAGGGCAGCTTCATAACTGAGGGAATAATGATATTTTAGGATAGGGAAACCGAGAGGGAGTGAGCAGACAGATGCTTCCGTGGATTCAACAGACCAGGATCTGCCCAGGGTGCTCAGAGAGGGACCAGAGCTGAAAGCATCTTATCTATTTCACATACAAGTATTGTATTTCAAAGAATCACAGATGATTCAGAATTATAGTTATGCCCTCTATAATTTAGATTATCACCACATCCTTTCCTGGAAACTGGAAAAATGACAACTGAGAAATGAAAGAAAACAACTTCTGGCCTGTTAGCTCTCTGCTGAAAGGGTATTTGATTCACTGTAGTAGGCGTCTACATGATGTATACATTCTACTGATAAGTCTGCCGCTTACAGAACACTCAACACAATCTCAAAGGGTAAGAATGACGTCTAATGGTTGGCACAGAGCTATGTGAATTCTCGAGGCATTAATGTGACACTCCTTTTTATTATCTACCACTAGTCTGTATCCCTGTTACAGAAGAAAGAACCATGCCCTACTAAGGATCTAGTTCCAAGCACCAAACTGTGATGTTTCTAGAAATATAATCAGGAACTAAGTGCTCACCACCTCAACAATAACAAAATGTACCAAAAGAAATCAGGAGAGAAGGAACAGAAAAAGATAAAAGTTGAAATTAATGGAATGGGGATACAAAAAACAGACACATCCAAACAGAGGATTTTTTTAAATTTTTATTTTCTTTTTAATTTTAATTTTTTTAACCCCAAAAACATTTTGTATTGGGGTACAGTCAATTAACAATTTTGAGGTAGTTTCAGGTAAACATCGAAGGGACTTGGCCATACATATACATGTATCCATTCTCCCCCAAGCTTTTTTTGAAGAGTAAGAAAATGGATACACTCCTTCCCAAATCTGAAATAAGGGAAAGAGAGAAAGAAAAATCTTACACAAGTTTGGAAATGAGAGAGGAGACATGACCACACAGACATGTCTAAGTGAAATAAAACTAAATGAAAAAGAAATATACCACAAGCAACTCTACAGTAACAAATTTAGAAACATAGAAGAAACTAAGATTCCCTGGCAAAATAGAAACTCCCCAAACTGATCCAAGAAGGGAAAATTTAAACAATGTGATTACCACTGAAGAGGACAGAAATCTAACAACCCCTTTATTCTCCCACTGGGGCTTCCCTGGTGGTGGGGGGTAAAGAACCCGCCTGTAATGCAGGAAACACGGGTTCAATCCCTGGGTGGGGAAGATCCCCTGCAGAAGGAAATGGCAACCTGCTCCAGTATTCTTGCCTGAAGAATTCCATGGATAGAGGAGCCTGGCGGGTTACAGTCCATGGCGTGGCAAAGAGCAGGGCACGACCGAGCGACTGAGCGTGCACGCACACACAACACGTTTGATGTGTGCCACTAACAACTCAGCGTGCTCAAAGTCAAAACATTCTTGACAGCCTAACGGGATAACACACTCAATCTGAAGCTGCAGCAGAACTCCTGCAAATCCCTTCCTGCCACCTCGTACTCCAGCCCACATTTTCTAGCTTGCCATAGCTCCCCAGATGAATCTCTAATGACAGAATTATAGAGGGCACCTTTCTTTTAAAAGTATTACTAAAATACTCATATATTTTAACACTGTGATAAAAATAAAACACCTCAAAATAATCACAGCATTTGTTTTTCAGTAAGGTAAGTTAGAAATATCATGTAATTTTAAAAAGTACTGTGGTTCATGGGGAAGAATTGAAATCAGTGTCTTTGAAAAGCAGATGTCAAGGAATGGCAAAGGCGCTGAAGAGGGCGAAGTGCAGAAAGAAACAATGGAGAGAACGAAAAGCTAAAGCATGAGCTGGAATGGCCTCTGGAACAATCCAGAATCTGGGTTTCAGACTCTGGGTGAGAGGGAGACAGAGCCGGGCACAAGTGTGTGCACATACGCAGGACACCCTGTAACAGTGAGCCAGCCCTGTGTGTCCCGTACCCCAAGGATGAACAGGGAAGAGTCCCAGATCAAGGTGTCTGGCTTACAGCAGCCTGAAACATAAGACCTCTCTGTGTTTCTCATTATTTTTAGCTTTTTCCCTAGTTCTAACCTTCTTCTTGTTTTCATGCAGCATGCAGTTGAGAAGTTTCTAAAAGACAGGGATTCACACTCTTGGTAGCAAGTGAGGCAGTGAAGGTGTAATCCAGGAAGCATCCTGCAAACACCTGTACACAGCTCTGTTCTTTGTACTGATCATATATTTATAATCCTCTGTGCTCAAACCTACAATGAATGTCAAGAGCAGGGCAGCGTGCCATGAAGCTGACTGGTCATGATTCCCAAAATGACGGAAGGGATAGGAAGAAGATGACATTTCCGAGAAGAGTCTTGAAACCGTAGTCTGCAGAAATGAGGGCGCTCTGACTGGCCTCCAGACAAAGCAGAGAGCGCACAGTTACAGGCGGGCACCACTTCAGGACTGGGAAAATGCAATCTGCAAAGCACAGAACTCTCTTTACCCAAAGTCATGCAGGGCGGTGTTAAGTCTGTGACACTAGTGTGAAATACAAGCCAACTACCAGGGTTGGTCCTGTCCTTGTCATCCCCTGTCCCATTCCCCGTAGCAGCCGCCGAAAGACCTTCTTGCCCCAGCATCTCAGCAAAAATTGCAGCTTCTTACTTCTCAGAGGACAAAGAAGCCAACCCATTTCTTTCGATTTCTGTCATCACTTAATGAACTTACCCTCTTCTGACCCTGTTTCCCCAGACAGTGCTCTCCCTTTCTTTGAGTTCGTTTTTAATGTCAAGGACATCCTCCCCTAATAGTTTCCAATTATTCTTACACTACATTAAATTCTATGGATTTTGCTCTTGAGGGGGAAAAAAAAAATAAGAAGGTGTAACCAGTACTCTGTGAGCATTTTAAAATCTACACGCGAACCTGTGTGACTTCACAGGTGGTGGGGCAGCTTTGAGAGGAAGGGCTGAAGACCCAACAAAAGGCCACTCAGAGAAACTAAAGAATTTCAGAGCCGGAAGGACCAAGGTGTTCTCATTCCAATGGTCTTAGTAATAATTTTTCAAGGACAGAAATGGAGAAAATGTGATACTTAAGCATAATTGTGTTTAAATAGAATGTTTTTACACGTTTTCCATGAGACATCAGTGAGTCTTCAAGAGCAACATTATAGTTACAATTGAGCCACTTATCAGGATTGCAGCTGTAGCAAATGGATTGAAGACCACAAAGCACACAAATTAGGAGCCTCATTCAAGGGGAAAAAATGGTTAAAATTATACGACAGAGTTATAATAAAATATAACTACCATAAAAACATGCATCTTTCATACTCATATTCTATCGATTCTAACACTAACATGCATATCTGAGTAGGGAATAAAAACAGGAAAAAACATTCCCTAGGTTCATCCCCTCTGTGGCCAGGAAGACAACAGAGCTGAGGTGAGTTC